AGTCAGAAAAACATTATGAGAAAATAATGACTAATGTTGGAATGTTGAGAGATTGTCTCTTGTTATGTAATAAAATATAACGAGAGATAAAAACAAGTTAGATGTGTGGGTGATGAAAGGTCATGGTGTTTATTAACATTGATTCCACTGCTAAGGGGATTGGAAGTTGGAACGAAAGGGCAAGTTTCAAATAGTGAAGTACCTAAGCCACACCCCAAAAATTCAGGAGTGATAACTGCAGAATACAGTACTAAATTAAGTTGGAAAGTATTTGGATAACCTGTTTTCCTCCTCTAGTCCTTGTCTACCAAGTTGGAAAGTAGTTGATATATGTATTATGTATATGATTTTCATCAAATAAAGTTAAAGTTAGGTCTCTATAATAACTAATCTTCAAGTGAGCAGTAGCCATGTCTTTCTCAGTGTAGACTCCCGTTGATTCCACCATGTAGTGTGCTCCAGCCTTTGCACAATCTCCTCTTGGTTTCTTTAGATATTCATACATTAAAGTTCAATCAGATATCCAAATTGACCCTCTTATGCAGTTTAATGAGAAGCTAGAGGCATATATTTACCTAATGCCACATTCAGTAACTGGCTTCTCATCCTTAATATTGACCTCTTGGTGCTTTCACTGGCCATGGACACTGTCATTCTTACACATGCATGTCTGCAACAGTATCTCATACAATATAATTGTACAATCCTTATGTCAGGCATGGTTGTTGATGTTATGGTATGATAGCTACTGCTTTGGTTATGTAAACTGGTGAATTTTTTAAATGTGTTTAAAAGTTACATTATGTAGTGATATTAGATTGATACTCCATCTATTCCCATATTTTATTTTCTGAATTTATTTTAAATTGATATTCATCCAGTAAAGGAACGCCAAAAGGTCTTAAATGCAAATTTAAGATCCAGTTTCTGTTCTTGGTTTCCTTACTGATATTGAATGGTTGACATTGCACCATTGGCATTTTGGAGTTCAATGTTGAGTTGTTGGCTGCCAAGTGATATTGAAGTTCAATAGCTGCTTATAATACTTCTTCATTTTTCCCTTTTTTATTTGATAAATGTTGAACTTTGTTAGTTCTTATGAATCTGGATATAATAACTTCTGTTTGAAAATGTTGATATGAAATTCACCTACATATTTATTTGGTGTCACTTTTTATTCTACGTTCAAACAAGTCATCTTGATTTTGTAGAAGACTGAAGAGTACAAAGGTTGATATTTGAAGAAAGGCTGGCACTACTGGTTCATCCTCCATTTCGACTTTTGTTTTTTGGTTTTGTCCTTGCTGCGACAGGTATATCTATATATCTTCTTCTTTTTTTAAATATATGTTAATGCAAAATATATCTTTATATAAATCATATGTAACGACCCGACCGGTCGTTTTGAGCTTTTGCACTTTGATCGCCAGTTCTCGATCATGACTTGCCCCGTGTTATGTATTATGACTAATGCAGATCGTTGGTTTTGGTTTTCAGGAAAATTTGGAATGAATTTGAAAGAACAGTTTCAGTTGAAAGCTTTGAATTTGAAAGGTTTGACCAAGAGTTGACTTATTTGTGTATGAGCTCGGATCGGAGTTTTTATGATTTGGTTAGCTTCGTTAGGTGATTTTTGACTTAGGAGCGGGATCAGAATTGGTTTTGGAAGTCCGGTGTAGAATTAGGCTTGAATTGGCGAAGTTAGTATTTTGGCGATTTCTGGTTGATAGGTGAGATTTTGATCCGAGGATCGGAATGGAATTCCGAGAGCTGTTGTAGCTTCGTTATGTCATTTGTGATGTGTGTGCAAAATTGCAGGTCATTCGGACATCGTTTGGTTGGGTTTTTGATCAAATGCGTGTTTCGGAAATTTTTGAAAAATTTAGGCTTGAATTCGATATGAATTGATGGTTTTAGTATTGTTTGAGGTGTTTTGGTGATTGGAACAAGTTTGAATGAGGTTTTAGGATGTGTTGGTGCTTTTGGTCGAGGTCCCGGCGGCCTCGAGTGAGTTTCGGGTGGTCAATCGGACCATTTTCGGCTTTGGGAGTTGCAGAAATTGCTGTTTAGAGGTTGCAGAGAAATTGGCCATCGCGATCGCGAGGGGCCAGTCGCGATCGCGTAGAAGGTTTTTTGAAGGTGGGTGTTTTACCCTTCGCGTTCGCGGTCGAGGGTCCGCGTTCGCATAAGGTAGAGATCTGGTGCTTCGCGTTCGCATCGCATGGCTCGCGTTCGCGTATGAGACTTTGGAGTCCAGGTATGATTTGCTCTTCGCGTTCGCGTGTATGGTCACGCGTTCGCATAGCTTGGTGTGTGGAAGCTTCGCGTTCGCATAGTATAATTTTGGAAGCTTGGAATTTTGCCCTTCGCGATCGCGAGACCTTGGTCGCGATCGCGATGAAGGATCTACAGGACTGGGCAGAATGTTATAATCTCATTTCACCCGCGATTTTGGGTCATTTTTCCTCCATGGTTGATTATTTTGGGAGCTTCTTGGTTAAGCTTAAAGAGGGATTCGAGGGGAATCGATTGGAGGTAAGATTTTTGATCTCAATACTCGTTTTTATTGTGAAATCCACCTAGAAATTCATGGAAATTAAGCCTAAAATTGAAGAACTAGGGCTTGAGATTTTGAAATTTGATTTGGGGATTCGAGGGACCATTTGAGGTCGGATTTGAGTACTTTTGGTATGTATGAACTCGTGAGGAGATGAGGAACCTATTGATGTGAAAATTTTTGAGTTTCGAGAAGTGGGCCCGGGGCTCGGGTTTTGCTAATTTCGAGATTTTTGATATTTTTCGATTGTTTTCGATTGGGTATTGTTCCCTTAGCATATTGTGATGTATTCGCTTTGATTTTGGATAGATTCGACGCGCGTGGAGGCCGAATTGAGGAGCAAAGGCGTCGCGAGCTAGAGATTTTGCCGGTTCGAGGTGAGTAGTGATTATAAATGATATCCTGAGGGTTTGAAACCCCGGATTGCACACCGTAGTGCTATATTGAGGTGACTTGCACGCCGGATAGCGAGCGTGGGGTAGAGCAGCGTTGGGGGATTGTGACTTGATCCGTCCCGATTGATGATTTTACCGCGTATTTGACTGAAACCTATTGATATTATCATGATTTGGGCTGATTGCCATATTTGGGCTTCGTGCCAATTATTTGAACCCTTCGGGGATATTTGTCACTGTTTCCTCACTGTTTTGACGCATTATTTGAACTCAGTCATGTCGATATCTATTGTTTTACAAACTCAGCCACTTTTACTCAGATTTGAAACTTAAATGATATTTCTAAATGATATTTTGGGCTGAGAACTACTGTTTTACAAATGCCCGAGGGGCTTGTGATGATTTTCGGGCTGAGTGAGGCCGAGGGCCATATGTGAGGATATGCTAAGTGATATGAAGCCGAGGGCCTGAGATACATTTATATGCCACGAGGTGGCTTGAGTGATGTGAGGAGGCTTTCAGGCCTTGTGAGTGATGTGAGGAGGCTTTCAGGCCTTGTGAGTGATGTGAGGAGGCTTTCAGGCCTTGTGAGTGATGTGAGGAGGCTTTCAGGCCTTATGAGTGATGTGAGAAGGCTTTCAGGCTTTGTGTTATTATTGCGCTTGGGCTGTAGGAGCCCCTCCGGAGTCTGCACACCCCCAGTGAGCGCCATCGACGATATATGGATCGGGCTGCACGCCGCAGCGAGATGTGGATCGGGCTGCACGCCGCAGCGGTTACTATATGATACTATTCTGAGAGTGATCTGAGAGAGAGAGCCCGAGGGGCTGAGATTGTTTAGAGAGTGTTTCTGAGAGTGAGCCCGAGGGGCTGGTACTGTTTTGAGATATTTCCCGAGGGGCGAACTTTTATGTGCTCATCTTGCATATTTATTTGCCTTTTTACCTGTTATACTGTGGTATTTGTGCCCGGGGGGCGGATCTTCGGTGCTTATTGGCACTAACTGTTTTGAAATCATTTCGTAACTGTTGAAAAGATCATTTTCAAAAGAGATTTAAACTGAGCCAAAATATTTCTAAAGATTTCACAGCTTCACTGCTTTTTCAAAGGATTGTACCCTGCTTCTATACAGCATGATGGTTTGCCTTATGTGATTTCTTACTGCTCAGTTGTTATTTACCTTTATTACTCACTGAGTTGGAGTACTCACTTTACTCCCTGCACCTTGTGTGCAGATGCAGGTATTTATACACCCGGTAGCGGGTTTTTGGCTGGTCGGAGGCAGTGTTGTCTGAGTTAACAAGGTGGCTGCCAGCGTTCGCAGCACCGTGCTTCATCCTTTGTTTATCATTCCTATTTTGTTTATGTCAGGCCTTATAGTTGTATTCATACTCTAATAGATGCTCATGACTTGTGACACCCCGGTTGGGTTGTGTTTGGGTTGTACTTCCGCTAAGTAATGTTATTGAATCATCTTTAAAATTGATTATTCATGTTTATCTAATTTTGAAAAAGGCAAGTTTGGGTTGGTTGGCTGGCCTTGTCTTCACGAGAGGCGCCATCACGACCGGAGCGGGGTTTGGGTCGTGACATCATAGGACTTGCCTCATTCTTCATGTTACCTTGTTTGCTAATAACTAAACGGTTGGGTTTCTTTTGTGTAAATTTGAAATTTTAGTTTCACTTTGATGCGAGGAGCTAACTATTAATTTATATTTACATGTTATTCAACTCACTTGAAGTTTGAATGAAATAATGAAATAATACTATGTAATAATTAAAGTATTTAACACAGTACTAAGTGCACTTTCGCGGAATATTATTGTTGTTGCAAATTTAACTAGTCAATTGGACATGTGAGACTTCTCTTGTTGAATTTTGATTCCGCTATAAACTAGTAGATATGCTTTTGAATGTAATCAATCTAATTCTTGTTGTGAAATTTTAAATTTATAGAGTCATTCATAGTTAAAATGTTGAAGGTATTACAATTATTTAAATTAGGAACCTTTAGAAGAATATCTCAATAGTTTTTTCTTTTGATGTAGATGGAATTTGAACATAGTAGATGGATGTATAATAGGACTCATCCTCATTGTGCGGGATTGAGGAAGGAATTTATAGAAGGAGTTGCGGGGTTTATTGCTAAGGCGAAACCGCTAAATAATTTTCTTATTGAAGGGACAATTAGGTGCCCTTGTGTTAAATGCAAGTGTGTCAAGTTATTGAGACCAGATGTAGTTGAACTTCATTTTTACAAGAATGAATTTATGGAAAATTATTATGTGTGGATTGTTCATGGAGAGAATTATGATTTTCATAATTCTTTTGGTGGTGAGGGTAGTCCCAGAATAGAGAATAATTTTGAAAATTATCGATTCAATGAAATGATGAGAGATGTTTTTGAGATGTTCCCAGGGGCTGAATCCGAACCAAATGATGAGGCTAAGCTCTTTTATGAACAACTAGAGGAAGCTAGTCATCCATTGTATGAAGGCTCAATGCATTCCAAGTTGTCTGTTGCAGTTATACTTCTAACTATCAAATCTGATAGTTCTTTTTCTCAAGCGGGCATGGATTCTATCATTGGGCTTATGAATGAACTAAATCCGAATAAAATTAACTTACCCAAAGATTTCTATACTGCAAAGAAATTGGTGTCCAAGTTAGGACTTTCATCAGAGAGGATTGACTGTTGTGAGAAAGGATGCATGTTATTTTATATGGATGATGCAGCGTTAGAAAATTGTAAGTTTTGTAACCAACCTCGTTATAAGGAGGTTACAAATGCTAATAAGAAGAAGGTTCCAGTGAAGGCGATGCATTACTTACCCCTTATACCAAGGTTGAAGAGGTTGTATGCATCAATGAGCTCCGCTCCTCATATGAGATGGCACTAGGAACATAGAAGGCCAACCGGTATTCTATGTCACCCGTCAGATGGAGAAGCATGGAAGTATTTTGATAGGGTGTTCCCGGACTTTGCAAGTGAACCAAGAAATATTAGGTTGGGATTATGTGCTGATGGATTCACTCCATTTGCAGTCTTTGCCGTACCATATTCATGTTGGCCAGTGTTTGTTACGCCGTATAATCTTCCTCCAGAATTTTGTATGACAAGTCCATATTTGTTCTTAACTTGCATTATTCCAGGTCCACGCAATCCAAAAAGTTTGATTGATGTATACATGCAGTCGTTGATTGATGAGTTAAATTTATTGTGGCATCAAGGTGTGGAAACCTATGATATATCAACTAAACAGAAGTTCAGATTGTGTGCCGCTTTAACGTGGACTATAAATGATTTTCCTGCTTATGGAATGCTATCCGGGTGGTCGACTGCTGGAAAGTTAGCCTTCCCGACTTGCATGGAAGACACAAAAGCGTTAACTTTGAAACATGGAGGTAAGAACACATGGTTTGACTGTCAGAGTCGTTTCTTGCCAATGGATCATGAATTTAGGAGAAACACTAGTGCATTTATGAAGAATCAAACTGATTATGAAGAGCCACCTTCAGTCTTGTCACCAGAAGAAATTTGGAACAGAGTTAGGGATCTACCTAAGGTAACAGAGTCTCCATTGCCTAATAAGATACGTGGTTATGGTGTTACCCATAACTGGACTAAACAGAGCATATTTTGGGAGTTACCTTATTGGAAGCATAATCTTCTAAGGCATAATCTTGACGTCATGCATATTGAGAAGAAATTTTTTGATAACTTGTTTAATACTTTGATGGATGTCAATAACAAGACAAAAGATAACTTGAAGGCCAGGATGGACTTGAAGGAATATTGTAGGCGAAGTGAGTTGTACCGTACATACTTGAACAACAAGATTCAGAAGCCCAAGGCCAGTTACACATTCACTTTGGATGAGAGAAGAAAGATTTGTCAGTAGGTTAAGAATTTGAGTGTGACGACCGGCTGGTCGTCTCGATGATCTAGGTCTGTTGACATGAAAGAAGGGAAGTTGATGTCAATGAAAAGCCATGATTGTCACACTTTCATGGAATCATTCATGCCTATTGCGTTCAATGCCTTGCCTGATAGAATATGGAAGCCTATCACAGAGATAAGCTTATTTTTTAAGGAGTTGTGTTCTAGCACATTGAGGGTGGAGAATCGAACTTACATGGAGAGTAATATTCGCTTAACTTTAAATAAGTTGGCGAAATTTTTTTTTCCTCTTGGTTTCTTCGATGTAATGAGCAACTTCCAATTCACCTTGCGCAAGAGGCAGGACTTGGAGGGCCAGTTCAGTATAGATGGATGTATCTCTTTGAGAGGTAATAAATAATTTTTAATCATTTGCCCTTTATTATGTAATTAATAATGTTCGTCTAAGAATCATATATGAGATTATGGCAAATGTAAGCG